GATTATGCACACAATAATGATTGGAACGGGAAAAACGAAGGGCACACGCGCCACCCAGACAGACGTAGTTGGGATTCGCAATCACCGATTGCTACAAACAGCATCGAGCTTGGGGCGTGGGATGTGGGGCGTGGCGTATGGAGTGGGCGTTCAGCGGGTTTTTTCGCGAAATTTTCAACGAATTCCATTAGATAATTGCAATGCTTGATGTGTGAAACCGAATAAATGAAAATTGAATACACCAAACGAATGCCACACGCACACATTCATATTTACATAAGGTGCAAACACGAAAAAAATGTTCATTGATCCAATTAGTCTGACAACACACAGCTATGCGAAAATAGTTATTTACTTTGGGGAAATATTACAACGTGAAAAATATGTTGTTTGAGTTTCGCCCAATATATACAAATGAGTTTTCACATATATTTTTGTTATCTATTTTTCAGATTTCGAGATTTAGCAGTCAACAGAATATATAGAAATTGTGGATTACTTTAGTAATTACCCAAGGCGATAAATCTTTATTGTTTAGTCAATCTGCGCTGCTAAATAGCACTAGATATATGAAATGCTGTTCGCTTTTCACTTTGAAAGAATTATGCTTGAAACATTTTACTTTTTCTAACGATTTGTATTTCATAGCTGCAGATAGATAGGTTGATACTAGTAATATTCTAAGCTAAAATAGAAAGTTATTCTCTGGCTTACCTTAATTAGCATCCATCTATAATAAAAAGTTTCATTTTAGGAATGATAAACACAGAGCAATTAAAATAAATTAAGCAAGAATCAAAATATATTTTTCAGAATGATTGTGAAACGAGCTAAATTCTTATCTGAAACCAAAAATAAACATTTCAGATTGGTAAAAAATAGGCAATTATCTGCAACAGAAATATGAACATGTTATTTATAAGACATATCCATTATTTGAAAACAGTAATTCTGTCAACCAAAGATTGCCATTTTGATCTTAAAAAAAAAGATGATACCAACTTGTTTTCGTATAGCCATTAGTTAAAGTGAGACAGAGATGGAGATAGGCAAAGCAACAGCTCATCTTGGCAGAAGTCCGTTTGAGTCTTAATTACAAAACAACATAAAGTTTTATTGTCTTGCATAATCAGTTAATTGAGTCATTGACTAGTCCACTTCAGTGAAGACAACCTGAGCCCATCAAAAATGTGAATTCAGAGTATAATTTGCGAAAACATATGTAGCAGATAAACCAAGTCGTGGCCAACTCAAGTATATACATATATATATATTTGTTAATCAGTTAACTCAACGGGCTCATTCCATTCAGCTCATTCACTTGCTGATTCACTGATCAATTAAATCACATCATATACAATGGAATTGAAATCATATCACGAACGCTAATCGATATCAGATTTCAGTAATCTGCAATTTAAAAATAATTCAATTGGTTATGCTTAAGCATCAGTATCATAATATTTATTTATTATTCAATAATATTTGTCATTTAAATAGTAATTTGAACACAGTTATCGCCAAACAAGGCAAGCCACACACAATACAATATACATATTTCAGTTAAGTTGTCAGGCAGACAAATCTGAAGTTTTGCAGCACAGATAAATGAACCGAAAGATCGAGCTCAAAGAAGCATAAAGGGGCACCGATTAAAAATCAATATAAAGTCACAAACGTCTATTCACCGAGCGTCTTTTGTATTCCTATATAGGGAGTGCTAAGTCCATTGAAGCCGACTGAATATTATTATGTTAATTAAATACTTAAAAAAAAAATGAGTTAAAAAATACTAAATTAATACGTACATTTAGATTGTAAAGGCGCGGTGCCAGAGAAATGATATATTCAGATATATCTTGAGTTATTTGCATAATTATAATGGCGTGAACAGCGGACAAGTCGCCCCGTTGTCTAAGCTTGTCTAAAGCTCACACGCATGTACATATATATATATATTTATGTTCCTATGTATGTGTCTCAGTTCATAAGCTGGGGTTAAGACAGAACGTGCAGTTTATCTCGACAATCTCCACACTCATTGTTTATTTAGTTTGCTTTATGTACGTGGGCTGAGAATTTGTTCGTTACGCACGCTGATCGATTCAACTCGATTGATAAACTTGGAAAAGTGAGAGGTGTTTGCTTGAATTCGAGATACCCTTTATGGTATGGTAGAGTATTAGGCGATTATTTAAATTGAATTCATTTACCGCTTCTAATAGAAGATGTTTTTACATAATTAAGACATTTACTGAAATATGAATAGCTATTTAATTCAATTCTAACTCGATTTAAAACTGATATAATTTATGTAGAGCACTTCACTCATCTAAATCAAAACTATCTCAAGTGGGGCTATTTAAGAACCCATTCTATGTCCATTTAGAACAGCGCGTGTTATACGGCCAGAGCAACTTAAGTGCCACAGCTATTCAAGAAATATCCGAATTTTAGTATGTGGCTAAGCTTTATGATACCCTTTTGATGCCCATCTAATGAGTATGGTAATGACTATGAAATGGAAGCAAACTAAAAACCAGATCATTCTAAACTTAAGTTGAAGTGTAAAACATTCCCAAAATAGAGAGAGAGCAATAAAAAAAAAAAAAAAAGAAGATGATCATAAGATAAATATTTGCATAAATCACGTGCCCCGTTGGCAGCATTAGCAGAAGAATTAACTTTTAAAAATAAAGCGACAGCTGCCAGCTAAACAAAGATAGAGACAGAAGTCGAGAGAGCGAGAGAGAGAGGCGGAGATCTAGTTGATGATGGAGATGGAGATGGTTAGCATCGAGCACCGGTTGGAAATTTATGTAAATGCATTTGCGGTGGCCCGTGAACTTGAAACAGAAACTTTGCCTCCGGATTCAGTTGTCGAGCAACTGCTGAGCCAAGCGAGTCGGCGAGCGTGCGTATTGAATATCGAGCAGCGAGCCAAGAATCGATAGTCGCGAACCGAGCGCCGAGAGCCGAGAGTCGTGAGTCGGTAGTGTCGTGTACTCAGTAGCTGGTGTCGAGTGATATTTATATCTAATCATGGCAGGCAACTTGGACGTGCATAGGACGTGCCTTTGCGTAAGTGGAGCTGGCAAACAATATGCCAATAATGCCATACCATAAATGTAATTTGTCTTTCAGCTGGTAGCCCTGCTGCTGGGCGTTGCATGCGCCGCCGGCCCCGCCTACCTGGCCCGCCAGACGCCCACGCAGCGGCCGACCCAGAGCGGCACATACTTCTATGATCCGCCAAGTGCGACGACGATGGCGGCGCTGCGTCGCATCATCCAGGGCCACCTGCAGCGCTTTCAGATGGCGGACAGGCAGCGTTTACAGCAGTGGCAGCTGGCCAGGGTGGATGTGCAGATGCAGCCGAATCGGCAGCTGCAATCAGCTCCGACCACCAAGCAGCTGATTTTCGAGTTCATGCTGCCGCCGAATACGCCGACGCCGAAGAACTATGCGATGAACTTCCTGCCGGAGGGCAAGGATGTGGCACCCGGAACTTCCTACATACCGTTAAGGCTGGTGCGGATACGGCGTTGAATACACATATTTGAGCCAGCGAGACCGATGGAGAAATACAAATGGCGGGAGGAGGGGAGGCAGATGCGTCGGCATCGTCTGTTATTCAAATGAGCCGAGGCGATGGCAGTCGGAATGCCGTTCTCTATGAGCAGCCGGTAAACGAGGTTAATTTGTTATAATCCTACTGGTTGTTAAATAATTTAACGATACATGTATATATTTAAATATAACGAGCATAGGCTAAGCGTTCCGTATCCTAACATAAGTTCAAGCCAATTTGTTGACTGAGAGCACAACCAAAGCATAACTCTGAGTTACGGCCTGCTTTAAATTTCAGCCTCCAAATTGCGGAATTAGATAAGAAACCAATTTAAATAAATAAAGCCACGCATAGTTCGTAATGAAACACACGCAGAAAAAAAAAAAAAACATTCACCAAAATTAACTTTGTCATATCATTTACATAATTTAGAAGCGATAAATTAAAACGCACCAAAACGCGACCGACAAAAAGCGGAAAAAACTATTTAAACAAAATAAAAACAACAGAAACTAAAACTGAAACTGAAACTGAACTCGAAATTGCAATAAATTGCTATATAAGGTCGCGATCGGATTTGGTAGTACAGATTAGTCGCAGCAGTTACGCGTTCCCTTCAGTCAAAAGCAATATAATATTAAATGTCTCCAAATCCATTTTGTTTTTATTAACAATTCAAAACGACCGAAAACATGTGTGGATTAACATTTAACATTCGCTAAAATCCAACTGTTGACGCACCTCAACCACTCCATATCATTATAAATATATATTTCATCGCATGAAACATAAAATTAAAAAATATGTATATATTCTAGCTGATGCATATATAATTTGCTATGATAACTAACTCTGCCAAACTCATTTCCATAACATTTAACTGCTCTCTTCGGTGTAAAGGTCAAATACAGTTTGGGTGGGCTTGTAAGCGAAGGCACAGTGCATGTCAAACTGGGAAACCGGTTTGATGCACAGCTAAATCATTTAAGCGCTCTGTAAAGTGGTTGGTGTCTTGACTGGCACAAAGGTCAGTGGAGCTTTTTGTTGTCGGTTGTGTGTCATGGCTAAATGATTACCTTAAAGTGAGTTTTTAAGCTTAAACATATTTTAAGCTTTGATAGGTATTTAATATGTATAATATTTAGGAATTTCGTGAGTGAGGTCGCTACGGGTTAAAAATGATATAGTAGTATTGATATACAGGTATTTACTCTGACTGTCTACAGCAGTAGCTGGCATATGAACACGATTTTATAATATATCTGAGCATAGTTTTGATTGATTTAGTCGTAGAACGGAGCTGCACTGTTACCAGAACTAAGTTATTCAAACTATCAACATTTTATTGCACTTCAATAGTTAAGCTTACACCTATAGATAAAATACTTGTTACCAACTTTTGATATAGTTATTCGCTGCTGAACGATATTCAAATGGACTTCACTGAGGATTGGGTTCGTCTGGAAGTGTTGCTGGACGAGGTGGACATAGACTGTCGTTCCGCATTGGGCATATTTATTTTCATCTGCCTGGAACAAATAAGACTCAGCCAAGCGTGTCGATTTGAGGCATTCAAAAGCACAAAATAAACAAAGAGCACAAAGCCTTGCAGCGTGGCGCTGAGACAAAAGAGATAGGAGAATATAATGCCCAGGCGCATATAGCTGCACAGGCCAAAGATCCAGGTGAGGCCCAGCAGAAAAAACAGCAGGACGGACAAACGCAGCTGCTGTATAATTAGCTGGCGCCGTGGATTGAGGGCACGATGAATGCTATAAATGATGCAGAGCATCATGAAGGCGTTGGCAAAGGTTACCAAGCCAATGGGCAGCACAACGCCCAGCGCCAGGCCATAGCCAGAGGGATAGCACAAAGCCGCGTTGCCTTTCAGCTGTTGCTGCGACGGCTGAAAGGAGTCGGCGTCGAGCAGAACGACCAAGAATGTGGGCAGCAGTGGCAGCGTCCAGGCAACCAAGGCCGAGATGAGTATATAGTGACTGGGCCGAGCCACGCCTATCACTGTCACGTAACGCTGGAACTGCAGAAAGGCTATGATCAGCATCCAGCTGAAGATGACCAGCACAGAGTACTGCAGCGCAGCGCCCGATATCAGGCAGCGGTTCCAGCTCTGCTTCAGAGGTAATTGCTCTGCCCCCAGATAGCCGAAGAACAGCAGCTGCAGGGCGAGGGCCAGGCAGAGATGGAGCAGCACCTTGGTGGAGGCCTGACTGCGCCATTTCTCAACCAGCGCCGCAGTCAGAAAGATGAAGAGCAATCCGAACAGCGAGAGGCCGCAGCCCACTTGGGTGATCAGGTCCAGCAGCTGCTCATGTGCCGCCTCCAGCTGCACATCCGATTCCTCCACCGAGTGCTGAGTGAAGCTGCCGCCAATCAGAAAGGAGAACTGCGTCAGATGCTGCGCCTCGCAGAGCACATTAGGTTCCTCGTAGTGACCGCCGCATGTGCTCACTCCATCGCTGAGCCAGCTCCCATAGTTCCAATAGCCACAATGGCTGCCCTTGGCAGAGACTCCGACACGAGGCAGCAGAAAGGGCAGCGGCGCAGGCAACTGAACTGCAGGAATTGCAGGATGATTAGCCAAGCGATAGCTGAGTTGGACTTTGCTAGCTGGACTTACCCTCGAAGCCTGGTATGGATATGGACAGCACTTGGCTGCGTGGCCTCTGACTACGCTGCTGAGCCCTCTCCACGAAGAGTCCGTCGTGAGCGTAGACCTTGAATACGAGATATGAGGCGCCTCTTTGGCTGAGCTGCTCCCACAGCTGCGCCGGGAGGTAGGTGCCCGTTTGCAAGTCCCTCTCTGCTCTCAGCTGCTCCAGGCTCTCGTTGGCATACAGAAGGCGATACCAGAAGCCGCTGCTGGCGCTCTTGCGATCCGCAGCTCCTGCTGCATATATGGATATTCCTGTGATATTCTCACACTTCGGATTCACATAGAACACGCTCAGATTGCGGCTCATCAGCGCCTGCACGCCCTGCTCCGCATAGTTAACGGTTTGCACGCCCTTCTCAGTGGATTTGTCCGCCTCAGCTCTCGACTTCCCACAGCTCTCGCTCGGCACCAGCTGCGGAGGCAGTGCATCCATGTAATCCTCGAACTTGCTCAGAAGCGAGTTGGTTGCATTCAGCTCTGCTGAGAGCCGCAGCACCTGCTCATCGCTTGCCATGATCTCCCGGCAAATGCCGACCAGATCTGCGCTCACCGCTTCCGTCGGCTGCTGCTGCTCGAGCAGCTCTGCAAATATTTGCGCCGTGCTGTAGACATCCACCGGAGCGAGCTGGCCTCGTGCCTCACTCAATAAATGCCGCAGCTCGGTCAAGGCGAAGGCTGTGCTGCGCCTACTCTGGACACCTTCGCGCAGCTGACTGAGCTGTCGGCTCAACTGGCTGCCGGCACTGCAGTTCACACTGCCAAGGGCGGCCCACTGAGCACTTGCGTTGCACAGTCGCCGCCAGGGCAGACCCTGCTCATCCAAGCAGAGATCCCGCATGCTCGCCCACTCTCCAGCTCTGGTGCGTGCGAAATGATTCAGATGCGGCTCAAAGGTCACCTCGCCAGCTGCAGTCAACACTTTGTAGTTATGCTGGAAGTCCACTGGCTCACAGTGAGCCACGGGCAGCAGCTTCATATAAAATACACTCTGAGCAGGCTTAACTGTGCTGCTGTGGCTCCTAAGCTGCCATTGCTGCTGTGGAAACAGTTGAGCACTTCGCTCGGTGGTGCTGGACGCCAGACGCACATGCGCCAGACTGGGCCCCAGAGCAGCCAAGATGAAGCAAAGCTGCCAAAACATTTCGCCGACTGGTTAATTACGGCGACACATGACTTAAACCCGTTAAGCTGCCAAAATATTTAAGCTGTTTAAGCCGCTGTTGTGTTGTTGTGCCCAGCTAGCGCCACGCTCGACTGTCGCGTCTGGCTCGAGCTTGAATGGCATCACGACTTGAGCAATTCGAAGTCATAAATTTGTAGCCAAGATGCGCTTATCCGCATTACGTAATTACTCACCTGCTCATTCATAAATGAATACATACATTCATAAATATTTAAATAAATAAATACTTTATATATTCATACATATGTATGTGTGTGTGTGTATGTGTGTGTAGCGACCTCTCTCGCTGCTGACTCTTGGCAGAAAAACTCAAGTTCAAGTTCGATCGGTAGCTGCTCAACGTCAGAGCAATAAACAGAGAGGTGTGCGGGCATCTCCTCGCCTCTCGCCTCTCGCCCCTCCCTCGCCATGCACATTTCACGCCATTTCAGCAATTCAATCTGTCTATAATTTCTACAATAATATATTGAATATATTGAGCAGCAGCAGCGCCTCGRCCTGTCGACAGCTTCTTCATAATTTCGGAAACCTCTCGAGCTCTCGGGCTCAAGCGGAATTTTATTTCGTTTTATGTTTTTGCTTTTATTGGCGGTCAAGTGTGCCAACTAGTTGACTTTTTATTTGCCTCGAGGCTACTCGAATTTAATTAATGGACCAACATCTGGCTCAAGTTGTTAAAATCCACAAGAACAAGCGCCTCGCTCACATTAATCTTGAAAAGTTTCTAATATCGAATCGTTTATAACTATTCCAGCACAATAAATTCGATTTAAGTTATCATTCTCTAAAGAAACCAGATATCTAAATTAGATCATATTCCGATTTAGAGCGGCTCATTTCATTGCATAACTGGCAATGGATGATAAATAACGGTAATTGTCGGAAGGCTATCTTTTGGTATTTTAAAATAGACCACCATGATTTTGTTTATAACGGAAATATGCTGTGACATTGTCACTAGCGACAAGAAAGGCAACGAGAAGTCCAATATTTGTTGATTAGTTGTGCTATTCTTGGCAGATGAATCTGCGATGCATGTCAGAGAGACTTGAAAAGATTGCTGTAATCTAGCGCGACTAAATAATATTTGGGTCGGATATTAAAGATAAGCGAACTCAATTTAGTGCTCAATCCGAAACATTTCCTTGCGTGAATAACAACTTTAATTAAAAGAAACATTTGTAGGTCATTTTATAGAGGAAGTTAATTTGTTAAGATCATCTGAGGTTCATGACTTGTGCGCTATAGATTATCTTAGCAAATCGACTAAACTGTTTAAAAAGTCTATCAATTATTCATGAAAAGCAGCTTAAGCAATGCTTAAAGTGGAACTAGCATGAACTGATATACTACGGGGATATTTAACCTAGAAAAACAGTCACAGAAATTTATTTATTATTAGCAAATACATGCTACAATTGAGCATCTTCAATCAAATGGCCTTAAAGTATTTTGCTTACAATATAACCTTAAGCATATGTATATGTTATATAAATATGCTACCATCATATGTATTCATCTGTGTCTAATTCGTTCCGGCCATTCCGAAAACCATTTCCGTTGCTCGACAAGTCAAGAACTGAGTAAACAACTCCTCAATAAAAAGATGTGGCTACATATGGTTTAAATACCTTAATACAAGTATTTATATACATATATATAAAGGAGAACATCTCTTATCCAAGCGCAATATCTATAATTATTATAATGAATAAAATATATAGATCGAATCTGTTTAAAAAGCTTTAGCAGTACCCGAATGCATTAAGACTTATTTATATTCCCAATCAATTCATGTAGATAGTGAAATCCAACCTATTATAGAATTTAATTTCTTTTGTATTGTTGTATTGCACTCCCTATATTACAATCCCTCTATAGTGGTCCATTTTCCAACTTGAAGAACATGTAAAGCTCCTTAGGTCATCCTCATTAGAGCTTGTTACATGCTGGCTCAGGCTCAATGCATTTCAACTAATGATACATGCGAATGTTGTTTCGAATGCTCATATTTATATACATATATTTATATATACATACATATCTTGATACGATTTGCCTTTGGCCATTCGGCAGGGAGTCGAACGCTTGCATATTTCTTGCCTTTTGCATCTGGTCAACTGCAGTTTGAGGTCCTGTCGGACATTTCTTTTCTGCTTGAGTCAATATGTCTGGGCGGGTGGAATGCAAAAATTGCAGAATATTCAAATATTTGTGCGCTGACGAAGTAGGAAAGTGCAAAGGTGAGCATCGAAATGCAATAAATGTGCTGAAGCGCAAAAGAATTTCATCAAAGCGAATAACGTGCATCCATGAGAATAAATAAAATGTTTGCTCAGCTCCAATGATTGCCAATTCAAATCGAATTTTTCAACTCTATATGTGAAGCTAAGAAGCAACCTAAAAGTAAATCAAATAACAGTCTAGAGAAGTCAGAATTCCACTTGCACATTTTATAAATTATCGTAATTTATTATGATAGTTTGATTAAAGCGTTGTGTATATATGGGATTTCTCGCGATGATGATGAAAGAAACAAATATATCCTGTAGCACTAATTGAATGAAGTTTATTAGGAATTGAAGTCCGAATGGTAACTTTTGAATAGTGAAAAGCAGAAAATAAGAATGTGAATAAGAAAGAAGTAGATAAAAATGAGAATAATGAGAATATGCAAAATAAGTTAATATTTAAGGCACAATTTTTAAACAGAAATTATATTATAATAGTTTAATATATTGGAGTAACACTGAAAACTAACGTAATTAAATTGTGAAAGTAAAGAAGCTGTTTAATTTTTTTTTTTTTTTTTTTTTTTTTTTAAATTTGTGTTTCATTTCTACATTAAAATTTCTACAATCTTAATGGCGAAAATTAATTGTTTCATGCATAGCCAAATTTCGGTAAAAATATTTTTGCCATAGTTCAGAGAATGCAAGTCAATTTAAAAAATTAAGTAAACTGTTCTAATGAACATTTGAACATCGGAATATCTTGAGTTTCTAAAATATAGTCGTAATATTCTTAGCTGCTCAATTCATAATTTTTTTTGTGTTTGTTGTTTTCTATAAGCACTTTTCCAGATAGAATATTTATTTATTTATAATATTTTTGAAGATAATTATGACATTAACATTTTTGTTTTACTTATGAAGATTCAAAAATAAAATTTTCAATATGTTTTATAGCGCCTAAAAAGTATTTATAATATTTACTGTCTTATTTCGTATATAACTTATTGCCCACCACACTTAAGCTGCTTATTTAGCAACGGATAATAATAACCATAGCTGTAGGTATGTAAGCAACTAATTGTCGTTAAAATAGTTGTTGATTTACGAATTTATATAGCAGCAGTGGAAAATTGAAATGCGATTTCCATGTTAATCGAATGAAATGCTCTGACATGGTAATTAAATTTACAAATTTATAATTGCAATTGTTATAAGAGGAAATGATTAGAGTTGAAATGTCATTGTGTGCGCATTTGCCTGATTGATTGACGATTGTGCAGGAATGATGTATACAAAGAGGTCAAGTAGCTGCTTAGTCAAGCGCAACCTGTGCAATGCTGCTCTAAATCAGATAAACAGTTGTTTCTCCTCTTCCCAGTGACTCGAATTGCACCTAAATGCAATATCTCTCTGTCTCTGTCACACGCTCTGTCACTCCAACGGGCAAGGGGAGAGGCGGAGGTGATGGGAGCCATTAGGCTGCGCATCGAGACCGGCTACAAAGTTTCCTTTTCGTTTTTTGTTTTTCCTCTTTTTTCGGGGGTCTGTGGGATGTGCGCTGCTTGCCTGGCTGGTTCCACTTCAGGAACTTATTTACTCAAGTGTGATGCGATTATCATGGCTGCGCTTGTCCTGTGTCTCTATGCGCAACTACCGAAGTGCTGGGCACACACTCTGAATACCATTATTGTCATTGGGTTTTGTGTGTGTGTGTGTTCGGTTCGTAGCTCGACTTCTTCACTACGCTTCCTGTTTGTTAATTAAATGTCAGGCAGATTGTCATCTTTGCGGCGAGCACTTGATTAGAAGAACTAAAAAGGTTATTCCATCAAAATTGCAGGGTATCTACTGAGGTATCCTAGCTACACTGCTCACATTCTTTTGCATTTACTTGCCAAACTCGAGAGCTCTTAATTTGACTTTGCTGCCTGAGCAGCAGCTGTAGTGCATTTCATTCTATTTCAAGGCAAAGCTGGTTAGCTGGTTAGGGTATTCTATTTGTGGTCTACGTCTATTTGGCTCTGATTTTAATAGACTCCTGTCTGCTGCGGGCGCTAATGCCCAAGCCATACCTGGCTACACTTTCTCTATTCAAGGCCCGTTCTATCAGTGTCAACGGCATTGTCAGCCTGCCAGCGGCAGCTCCTTCGTTGGCCTTATGCCGACATTTATCAGACATCGCAGCTGACTTTTGTTGTGGTCTCTGCGGCTGCACTTGCAGCCTTTCAGCGTGGTCTTAAATAAAAGCTGAATTAAAACAAATAAAAAACGTTGCAGCTGCTCCGATTATGACGGCAATATACTCTGTCTCTGTGGAGCTGAGTTCAGTGTGGAGTCTCAGTGATGCCGTGTCTAAATTTCTATCCTTGATAGATAATCAATGTGACTCAAATTTGATTACAATTAAGCAGAGCTAATGGAAGCATGCGTGAACTCAAAGTGAATGTACTCAATATATAAATAGCACTGTGACTATATTTAGAAGCATCGCTCATGCTTTAGCTGTGTCTTTGTTAATCTTAATTGAAAGAGTGCCAAATAAAACATTATAGGAAATTATTGAATTATTTTAAAATAAAATATTTATGATTTATTAATAATCTATTAATAATATAAATCTAAAGTTCATAATAAAAATATGCTAAATGCATAAGCAATTAAACTTGAATGTTAGCAGAGCCATCTATTGGCCAGTAGCCAAAGCCAACTTGAAAGAAAGAGAGA